ATTAGTATTTTCTAATAACAATATAAATAATTCATTACTGATTTGTGTTCTAATAGAAATAGACTAAACAAGGTTTTCACTAATTATATAATTTAAAAAATATATATAATAATATTTTACAGTCAAATATAGCACACCTTACAAAACAGTGTTCATCCAAAAAATCCAAAAAATCCAAGAAATCCAATGGTCCTTCCTCCTAATCCGTTTCCTCTGCTTAGTTTTCTTGCGTGCGTGGGGCTGTTTTTTTTTTATTTATTTGTTATTAAATTAAGTAATTTATTAGTGCGGTGAATTTTGTTCTACTTTTTCAATTTAAGCGTTTCTTCGTTTCCTCACTCTAAGCTGTTTGTTTGTTTGTTTTCTTTTCCTCTCTCCGTTCTCGCTTCTGATTTGTGATTTCTGTCGATAGATGGAAAGTGAATTTTTGGTTGCATATGCAATTGATTGCGGTTTCCATATTTATTGAGGAACGAGGAAAATTAGAAGCTCTATTTAAGTAATCCTGAACATATTCCTGCATTCAAAAGTTCTTATTCTAACCCGCGGTGGTTATCGTGATCGTGATCGTCTCTCTCTGAATGATCTGAAAGCTGTCAGTATCGTCGGCGCCGGAAGATTCCTGAAGCAGTAATGTACTCTACAGTCGGGAATCTGAACCGTTTCCTTGACTCCGTCAGTCCGAATCCCCCTTCTCAGCACCTTCGCAAGGTATTTTCTTTTTCTCACAATTTCTCTTTTTTTCTTTTTTTTTTTCTTTGTAAGAATATTTGCGAAGCTTAGAATATGAGAACGGAATGATGAATCTTTTTACTTTCTCCAATTTTTCTGTTAAAAAAAATAATTCTTAGATTATCTGATAGGCTTTGCACGAAGATTTTCAATTTTTTTAACATTCATCGAAAATTGTTTAGCGTTCTCGAGCAATTTGAATTCTTTTTTTTTTTTGTTTTTTTTCAGAGAAAGATTTGATTTCCGCTGTTTGATCGTTTTGTTTATATAATTAGTTTTATGTCCAGGAGCAATTCACGTTTTCTGTCTGGGGAACAAAATTTTAGCATTATTTTATTGATTTATTTATTAAGGTATTGGTAGTGAAAGTCAAGGTCGTGATTCACGAATCAGCCGCGTAATTATATGCGAGATATGGTAAAGGATAAGAGGAGAGAAAGTGATTGAGAACGTCAGGTCAAGGCGCTGGCCCGGTCTGTCCATCCAATTACAAATGGGCCAATGCCGAGAGTTTTTTTTTCCTAATCTTTCAGGCCATCATACTAGTACTTATCCTCTAGGTGCCACTCTACCAGGGATATTCCGTAATTTTTCCCATTACATTGTTTTTTTATTTATTTTGTTCCTCAAGTTATTGTTTTATAGGTTGAATGCATAATAAAAAATATATATGATTTTGATGTTGAAATTATTAAAATATTATTTTAATAAAATAATATAAAAATTATTATTAAAAGTATTTTATATGACGTAGAAAACGGTATTTGTTCTTTTATAATTTTTTTTTATTTTTTTCACTTAGATCCCGATCTGCACCTGCCTAGAAATACTGTGTTACGAACTTATTTAGCACAGAACATGTAACATCGGCTTGTCAAAATTTAAACAAGTTTTTTTTAATATATGTCTTTAGGTCACATATTAAAGGGTTTTTTTGTGATAAATATATGCATAAAAAATGTAAAAACTTATTTTTAGTATTGGTATAACATGAAAAACATTTTATTTTTTTTTTAGTAATAATATTGAAATTTTGGCAACCAAACTCAAAAACTAAGAACTGGAACAAAGATGAAAAAACGTTTATTTTGCTTTCTGGATTTTGGAAATTAATATAATTTAGTTGTGATGGTTCTGGAAATAAGATCACGGTAAATTGTATTTCAAGTTTAATTAATCTCGAGATTATCAGACTAAAATCAATTAAATCAAACCCTTAAATCAGCCTTCCCAAGGTTTTCGGGAGTAATTACATGGTGGAATTCACTCTATTTGGCAACCAAACCAGTAGCTTGAGTTTAGCAGCAACTATTTTGAACTCTTATCATCTTGTAATCTGAGTTATTGTAAATTTATTGCCTAGAAAAGAAAATCTTGACATCATATTAAAGTCCATATTATGTTATTGATAGATTACATTCCTAAAAAAAATGTTGTTATCGATTGTAGTTGGCTACCTATAAATAGAGTACGGGGTTGCACATCTAGCACGCAGCCAAGGTTAACCAATGTTTAAAAGTCAAGTTACCAGAATCACATTTTGTAATTTTGATTAAATAGAATGCTTTTCTGCTCCATTTATGAAAGGCATTTTATTTGCAAAAAAAAGTGAACCTTGAATACTTTACAATGTAGGATTTTTCTAATCATGGAGGTGATGGAAAGAATATGATAAATGAAAGCATAACAATTGGCTAACTAATAAAGAGGCAATGTCCTAATCTTTTATCTACCTCTTGATGTTTCAGTTTCTTCTTAATTGGTTCTGGTTAGGAAAGGGAAATGATGACTATGACTGTGATAACTGCTTTGTTAAGTTTCAGAATCTGTTGACTTTCCTACTTCCTCCTTTTAAGAGTGGGGATAAGTATTACTAATTACAGGACCTACATTACTGAACATATTACTATTGGGATCTTTTAATAGAATATTCATTTTAGTTAATGAATACTGATAAATTTTTCATTCTGGTGAAATTGAGTTGGATTCTTGTGTTTTTCTTTCCCCAACTTTTACCAATGTATTTATTTCACATATGTTTGGCAGAGCTGTGTACATGATCCAAACAGCCTCTGGGAGCCCCTTAGTAAGGATGTTGTTGAATATTACAATTTGGGAGATCTTTGGAATTGCTATGAAGAATGGAGTGCGTATGGTGTTGGGACCAATGTGGTGTTGGACAATGGTGACAGAGTTACCCAATACTATGTTCCGTATCTATCAGCCATTCAGATCTACACTAACAAGTTTGTTGCAGCTTCCAGGTTTCAACAATTGCTCTTTATGCTATGTATATAAAATCTGTCAAAAATCCAATTTTCTATGTTGTGACTGCCAATGAGAGCACTATGGTACTTATCATCTTTGCAGGATCCCAAGACAGGATAATGATGCAGTTGAATTTGAAAGTGATTCCTGGAGTGATGACAGCATGAGTGACAAACTATCAAGGTCTCTAAGCAACAACTCCAGTAGAACTTGGGATGCCACCTCTGATGATTCAAATTCTTACCAAGATGGTTTATGGCCTCTGAAGGATAAGTTTGGCTACCGTTACTTACAATATTTTGAGATGTCATCACCTTATTGGAGAGTTCCACTTGTGGACAAGGTAAGGCTTTACAGACCATTTTTCCTTGTAAAATATGACATATTGTTTGTCTGTTGATGCCTTGCTATACAAGTGTAAAATTCTCCATTTGGCATATGTGTTATAAAGTAGCCTAAAAAGGTAGTCAATAAAATAGTTGTTTTCTATGTGTTTTTCACTTCATTCCATTACACAACTAATTTTCCAGATGGTTGTTTGATTCAGATAACTGAATTATCTCAGCATTATCCTAAACTAATGGCTCTCAGGAGTGTGGATCTTGCTCCAGCAAGTTGGATGGCTGTAGCATGGTAAGTTTGATACACATCACCTGTGATATTTTAATTGCAGTAATGGTGCGTTAGACAACTTGGGGCTATGTTGTTAAATACCCATCTATGATCTGCCTTTTCTGTATCTTTGATCAAGCTGGTAGTAGATCTTATTCTTGCCTAGGTGCATGACCTAATACACTCCTTGACAAGATGGGGATGGTTTTCCTCTTTTCCTTATCAAATAATGCGGAGATCAAGTTAGATTGGAACTTGCAATTCTTATGTGTTGAAAATGTTCTTGAAATGTTAACGAAGCAAGTGAGCTAACCCCTTGTTATTTTACTTTCTCTTGGAAAAGGATGCACTCCTTGATAATATTACTTTGTTTCTATACATGCTACAAGTGGAAGAGGACCATAATCAGCATTACCTTTTATGACTGTGATTGGTGATTCTCATGTCTTGTCTAGGATTTTCATTTGTTGAGAGCTCCCTATGCGGAAGAAAGAGCTTTTAGTGGCATCAATATGAATAGAAGATAGAAAAAAGATAAGGATATGAGGAAATCCTCAGAGCTTCTATCTGTGCTCTAATTTCCGTCACGGGTCAGATGGCTGCCTCTGTTTAGATATCCACTACCTAAAGTTTACTTTTCTGCTCTGGCTTTTTTTTTCCTTTTAGCAAGTGAAGTTTTTATTTTTTATAATCCTCTCCTTATGTAATTTTTTGGCTTCTAATTTGTTTGCTTATTTAACCTAAATTGCACAATATTCTTTGTTAACAGGTATCCTATTTATCATATTCCATCTAAACAAAATGAGAAGGACTTGTCAGCTTGCTTCCTTACTTATCATACACTATCCTCATCCTTCCTAGGTGCAATACTCTGTCTCACTCTTTACACACTTCTAACTAAAATGCCAGGGTGGTTTAACCCATATTGGGTTTTTTAGTTTCCAATTTTGGCTTTATATGGTAGAATGCTTCTGCAATGAGTAGTGAAGAATGAAATTATTGTGAACCGTATCTTTTGATTTAAAGAATTTAAGTTGATAGTTTAAGTCTAAATCTCATTTTTCCAAATATGCTGAAGTTAAGGGGCAACAAGCAATATCATTTTATTTCTTCTTATTCCTATATGGCACACAAAATGTATCATTGGAGATTAATAACTTTTGAGATTGTTATCCTACTAAGTTTAGGATTTGGGGTTTAGTTCCATTAGGTTAGTAGATATGTGGTATTTAATTTTGGCACTACTAGACTTAGTACGTGGAGATGGATCTGCTGTAGACATAGTGATGTAGTCTATTACCATGTCCCATTAATCCACAGAACAAAGATTTTCTGAAAGTTTTCTGATAATATATATTTAATATCCATAAACTAATACAACAGGATTGTATATATGGCAGTTATGAAGGGTAATGGAGGATCTTGTCTGCAGTGCATGGATCTCATTATCATTGTTAGAGTGCCTTTATTACGTTTTCTGGTGGCTAGTGTTTTATGAATGTTAATTTCAAAATATCAGAAAACTTTGGATGTTGGGGTATCCTGTTCATGTTCTTAATCGTTTCTTCCATAACATCGTGATTTGATGAATAAGTTGTATGCTATGATTATACAGATAGTGACATCGAGTACTCCAACAACAATTCAAGGGAGGAAAGTAGCTACTCTAAAGAAGTGAAAGAAAAGGAAACCAGCGCTGTCAAGATTTCACTTTCTCCCTTCGGGTTAGCAACCTACAAGATGCAAGGAGATCTTTGGGCAAAAACAGGTACCTTTGAGCATGAAAATATGGAAAACCTCAATAGTGCTGCATCTTCATGGTTGAAGCAGCTTGAAATAGAACACCATGACTTCAATTTTTTCAAGTTTCACACAGCCGTGTAAATTAGCATTTGTTTGTAGTCCCTTATTTATCTATTTCTTTCAATCTTCTAGCTAGCAACCGCCTTTTAAAGATTTCCCCAATTCCGATGTTTGAAATCGGAAGTTTAGCCACGAGGATGATGAGTAACCAAATTCAAACCAATGGTTTGATGTAGGAAGTTTTGTGTTGGGGGTTGTGGAATGAGTTGTTTTGTTTAGATTTAGAGACTCTTGGCAAAAATGGAGTTGGCATTGGCAACTTGTAAATGTTATGAGGCTCTTTATGGTTCAAATTTTGCCTTTCCTTTTTAACGTTAATTTTTCCCTTGTGGAGCGGAATAGTTATCGTGGGAGTTTTGGGTGATTAAGTGCCCTTGCTGCTTTTCCGTGTGTCATACCATACCACTTAGAGTTACATGTATTGAAAGTTGGTTTCTTGAAGCATCTATCATGAGAGTCTTTTCCCATTATTCTCTTAAAAAATAAGACGAAGACAGAACTCTACCCAATTAGAATATGTTCTGAAAGAAAATTTTGTTTTTTGGCAGAGAACATATTCTTTTTCATTTTTATTTTTTTAATTTTAAAATTATATTTTGAAGTTTGCATGTGCACCACCTAGCATGATGTTAGGCGGTTCACAACTTCCCTTTTTGAGGAACGCTAAGGGCAGTCACGTTTTCGTCACTCGCTGCCCCACTTTCCTTCTTTCGCCGGGTACTTGTACTTTTAAACTTAAAAATTAAAACCAGTTTCACGACTTCTACAAGATTGTGGGTCCTGCATGCCATAATCTTCATTTTTTCTCTTCTGAAATTCTTCCTTCGCTCTTTGTTGTTCCTTTCTTTCCATGGCTGAAAAGAATTTGATCTTCGAATCTTGTCCCACGTAATTGGACTACCATATCCTTGCTCTCTTTCTTTCTTTATTTTCAAATCTTGTTCCATTATTTCTTCTTTCTTTCTAGCTTTCTCTTCATCTCCCTCTTTTCCTCAACAATCTAGAGAGGGATGAAATTTTTAAGATCTCTTCTGTGTGATAATTGTTTCGGCAGCTTCACAATCCAACACTGTTGAAGTCTTCAGCTGCTTCTACACCTGAAAATCCCGAGGTTGTTTCCTCGGGGAAAACACTCCGACGCTCAAGTCAGCAATACTCAATATTCTAGAGAGAGATGCTCTCAAGGAGTAATTGCAGAGAGAGAAGCGTAGAGATTAATTATCTTCTTCAGAGGTGGTTGGGGGGTAATTATAGCCCCAAGTGCTGACATGTATCTGCACATGTAAGCCTCTCATTGGCCCACGTGGTGCTGGTCACATGGGTATGCTTGTACCGATGCTCCTTCAGGTTGGGCTAATAGGTGGTACTATAGGCCCATTATGCCTAGTCCTGTTTGGGCGTTGGGCCTATTCCAACAATAATTATTGCGAAAAGATGAAAAAAAGAATGGCATTATTTTGAGCCGATGCTAGAAGTGCATGTGGCTTTATGGGTTATAATATTAAAATATGTGTCTAGAAGAAATTGTAATGAATTTTATAACAGGTTATATTGCATCAAGAATTGGTTATATTGCATGAATTATTGATATAACCAGTTATTTGTCAATAAAATCAATACCTTTCCCAAAAAAAGGGTTTGAAAAGAACATTTCAAAGTTATTGACTTCTTATATGACAATAAAGCCCATTACAATCATCTAATTTTAAAAATTCATTTTCTAAGTTCTTTTACCAACCCTCATTATTTAAAAGTTACATTACATACTAACTATTCTAAAGTTCAGCCATGTCAAACCCTATAAGGGAACAAACTCTTATTGCATTTATTTTTTTATTTATAAAACTTAAATTTAAGACATTACTTAAAGGGAATTAAGAGTCTGTTTGGTGTAGCTGGAGCTTTTAATAAAAGTTCTGTTAAAGAGAATTTGTTGTAACAGTGCTGTTTTTAAGAAATTAAAAGTGTTTGGTAAAATTTTTTATAAAAGTACTTGCAGAATGAAAAGTTGTTTGATTAATTTTTTTTATAAAAGATCTTTTAATATTAAAATTACTAAAATAGACATTGTTTAATTTTTATCACTCTCACTTTATTTTTTTATATTTTTATATGACTTTAAATTTATAATTAGTTTAAAATTGATGATTAAAAATTAATTATTCAAATTTTAAAACATAAATGCTAGATAAATATTTATTTTTAATATTAAAAAATAAAATATTATTACATTTAAATAATATAAATAAGATAATTAAAATTAAAACTTAAGTTAAATATTTTTTTTTATTCTCTACTTTTTAAAAAAGTTTTTTTTTTTAATTCTTGTACTAAAAAATTTTTTTTTAATCCTTAAAGTTTAAAAAATTTAACTTTCTTTTAATATTTATCATTAAATTTTAATGGAACATATTAATTAAAAAAATTATATTTTTTCTT